GAAGGGTTCAAGCCTGTCCTTACAACGTTTGACCTTAAATTCCCTGTGGTGGAAGGACAAGTTGAGGAGTTCCGATCAAAATATGATGATAAGAGTGATGCTTACATTGCAGGATATGCTTTCTTTTACGCTAATTATTCATGTTTCTATGACAAGCCAGGATTCTATTTTGAGAGTCTCTACTTCAGAGAGAGTTATAGAAAGTTGGGAATGGGGAAATTGTTGTTTGGGACAGTTGCATCCATTGCTGCCAACAATGGGTTCGTATCGGTAGAGGGAATAATCGCAGTTTGGAATAAGAAGTCATATGATTTTTACATAAATATGGGAGTTGAAATTTTTGATGAGTTTAGGTATGGCAAGTTGCATGGTGAAAATCTTCAAAAGTATGCTGATAACAAGGGGGAAATTAAGGAAGCGAACTGTTAGTTTTTTTTTTCTTTCCCTTTTTAGTGCTTTGTTGTGCAATTTATCAATTTCTATTTGTAATTTTGTAAAAGCAGAAAGCTTATTACATTTGTATTTGAAAATTTTAAATTGGTAATTATCACATTAAACCTTCAATTTACATGATTTTCTTCTTCTTCTTCTTAATATATTATAAAAAAAATTACATCTTTCTATATTTGAAGGTAAGTTAAAAAATTACTCTCGACCAGGAAAAGAATAAGAGCACAAAATTAAAGGAGAGACTCTCCTTGTGTAGTAATATAATGTACACAAAATGACTAACTATATACAAATATACGAATCAAAGATGAAGTGTTTCTTTTTCACTGAAATTCTGATATTTTGGGGATCCAACTTCATAAAAGGAGGAACGATGAGTATTGAGTAAAGAGAAAGCTAGGAATTTTATTTTGAACAAGATATTTTGAGAATTAGAAAAACTATCAAGGATAAAATAGTAAAATATTTTGATCAAATGAAAAGTGTTTATATATTGCAAAGCCATAAATTAGAAATTAACAACTTTTGACTTTTAACTTAGAGATATTTTGATATTGTAGCATTTATCAAACATATAAATAAACTAAAAAATATACTTAATATCAATTTAATTAGCTTATAAATTTAACTAAACATCTTATGTAATTTACTCTTTTGTTGTGGTAGCAACCACTATTAAAGTTTGCATTAGATTTGGTAATGAAGGAGAGTCCCCTTCCCAATCAATTTCTTTTACAAGTCAAAGGAGAGACTCTTCCCATATTGTCTAGTTTTTCTTCTTTTTAAATCAAATTAAAAGGTTAGGCATGACCCCTACCTTATATATTAAATATAGGAAAAATTGTATGAAATAGTAAATTATTAATTCAAATTAAATGTTATAGTCATAGTTTCTTTTATTTGTAATTCGCAGCAAATATTCCATATTTTTTGCTATCCCATTTGTATACCAAATATACAAATAGACTCATTCGGTATACATGTGTTGTAAAAAATTGATTGCAGGACCCATTTGTATAACGAAATATACAAATAGACCCATTCGGTATACATATGTGTCGTATATATGTACTAATTTTGTTTATATACAATTACTATGTTTTAGTTTGTATACTGAAATATACAAATACAGATTTTTTATGTATATGTATACCGAAATATACAGATTAATAGCCATAGAAAACATAAAATTTGTTATGGAGCGCAAATTATACAAACTATAGTTATAACATACAAATATAATTTTTTATGTTTGCTAAACCTAAAATTTACTCTTAAATACATTAGGACATAACAAAATACATATGAGCAAGAGGAATAATAATATATACTATAAGATATTCCAATGATACATTACATTAAAGTTCACTTTGGGCCAGGATGAAATCAAATGCAAGTCAATAAGTGCATCACGTCTTAAATTAATAAGATATTAGACATATATTTCCTCTTGTGGGATGCATCACTATCTTTTAAACAGAAAAAAAAAATCTAGAGAGTTTTTTCTAAATCCTACGGAAGTATATTATATACATAATATTATGTTCAAACTTTTACTTGTGATTCTTTTATAATATTTTGATAAAAAAATGTTAAAAATTAATGAAACCATATTGGTACAAAAGAAAATTGATATGATGAGATAATTTCACAAAATTTAATTTTTATCATAATACATAATAAAATAATCAAAATATTAATACGATATGATTTTTTTTTTAAAAAAACAACTGATTGAGTCGTATCATGCACTCCTACTAGGATTGTCGTTGTCTTAAACCATTCAACAAATTTGCATGATTGACTTAGTTTTCATTTACAGAAACACTTATTTCCCAATAAATTCATGAAAACATTTATTTAAGATAAAAATATTTTTTCTGTAAAACATGTTCCTTTTCAGTGTGAATATATATGGATTCTTATAATAAATCGTCATACAGCAGAAAGCTGTCACGGAGAATAATTTTTCTCCCAATACAGCAGAAATGGATGTTGTGGCCGAAGCAGTGCCATCAATAAGATCAATTTCAAAGATGCGCCTGAAACCATGGAAAGTTTAATATTTGTGTATAATATATGCTATATTTTTCACAAAGTATAATTTACAAAACAAAAAGATAGTATTGAGGCACTAATGTTGTCTTCCGATTACATTTTGGGTATTCAAAATCCTTTTATCCTTTGTGCGCTTCCTCTGTTTGCAGCATGAGCATTCACGCACACAAAACTCTTGCAGCTCATTTGATATTGACATTTCTTTCCTCAACATAGAAGAGTTCCATCTGTCGGAAAAATAAAAATCACATATATAATACATACATATTGTATACATCAGTAATCACATACATTAAATGTCTCGAATTACTGTTGAATAAATTTAAGTTATTTCTTTGGTTTAGCCAAAGCTAGACAACCCGAGTCATGCACAAAATTATGGGTCACTCAAATACCTCCCAAAAAATGAAACTCACAAGTACAATAAGAGAATCGAAAATATATTTAAAAATATGAAGATATCATTAAGTCAAAATCAATAGAACTTGAAGTTAAAACTCATACATCTTTCATAAGTAAATTCAAAAAACCTAAATCAACCAGCAAGACCTTGTTAAGTAAAATTAATCTATACACCAAAAATTAATAAGCATACTCTCAAATGATCAGCTCAAAGTATGTCTTAGAGAAGCCGGTGACGAAATTTCTGCCATAGGGATAACTTGTTTCCCTACAGCTGTCACCACCATGAGAAGGGTATATGAGTTGGTTGAGGTTTTTGCTGACGCAGGACTTAAAGACATCATTTTGTTTCCTTTTACCCTATTGTTGCACAAAATAATGTATTCAGTAGGTTGTTTAAATGCAAATTAAAGTTAGAGAATAATGATGAAATGTCAGTAATGACGAAAGAAGAGTTCATGCACAGAGTAATTTCAAGTCATTTAGAGATAATGGATAAAAGTAAGCCCAATTGACAATTTTCAGAAGCATGTAGTCCTTTTGAGATTCATTGGAGCTCCTTTCTGAATCTTGATGTTTCATTAATGCAAGGTGAAGCTGAACAACAACTCCTATTACTGCAAGAATTGGCTCTCGAATGGATTTATGAGAAAGCAACATCTAATGGAACTTTTCTCTTACTGTAAGCTACCATTCTCAAATTCCAATCATTTGTTTACTTTGTCCTTAGCAATGATGAGTTTAGGAGATCTATGTTGCCGGTTTCTTGATCATTTTTCTTCGTTAGAACAGGTTAGAGCCTCACATTGGTCGGGAAATGGAGTGATAGTCTCTTTTAATAATTCTCATTGTGAGCTAGCGTTTAAGGTTGGGTTAGGCCCCAGAGTCATATTTTCACGTGATATTAGAGCCAAGGTTCATCCTTGTTTCAGACTCATATTATATTGTTGAATTGAACTTAGTCTACAATGACAATCTTGTGTAATACATAGCTTGTACAATGTTATGTTATTTTCCAAATTACATTGATAAAAAGTTTAATGCGTTCGTACCTTGATAAGTAGATATTCCTATACTCCTTTCAAGGATTACAATAAGATCTGCATCTTTTTCCATTCGAGCCTCAATTTCATTTCCTTCTATTTCTCCAAAATCCTCCCATTGACAATGACCAAGCAACAACTTTAAAAAAAATATTACTTAAACCACCACAGTGAGTATGTGTTATGATGATCCGATCTATGAAGTTCATCGTAGTACTCTAAAAGAAACATATGAACTCGAAATTCTAAATCTCACAACTTAGCAATTTATATTCAGAAAAGAAAAAAGGACAAAAACAATTACTAATAGTTGAAATCCCTTTTTTCTTTTCCTCTTTTGGATCTAATTGTTCGAAATCCTTAGAGATGCAATTTTTATCAAAGCAAACAACTAAAGTCCAATAAAAACTACTTTCAGAAATATATTTATCACCATTTATCTATAAAAACTCCAAAAAGGTACAAAGCTTTCTCTAATTGTGGGCCTGTGGCTATTTACTTTGATTCAGATTTCAGAATAACTAAAAGACCATGAAAATAAAACTCAAACAGAGAAGAAAAGTCAAAACTTGAAGCACAAAACAAACCCGCAATCTAGTTATAAAATCAACTTTCAGTAATATATTTATCATCACTTACTACAGAAACTCAAAAAAGGAATAAGGCTTTCCCTAATTGTTGCTATTTACTTCCATTCAGGTTTCAGAATAACTAAAAGAACAATAAAACAAAACTCAAAAAGAGAAGAAAGTCCGAAATTGAAGCACAAAACAAACCCCACAATCTAGTATTTCCATATCTTTTGTCAATTAAGAAAAACAACCTCAAGAAACAAAGAAAATACAGAACCCCATTTCCACAATTGACAACACAATATTTAAATGTTAACACTTACTGATTGTCACCAATGGTAATTTCTCGACACCTATTATTACCACGACCTGCAAATTTTAGAGGACCACAACGAAGAACGATTGTCAATATATTTGCTTATAATACATAAGGAAATGTTATAAGTGTGTATCAGTAAACATGTATATTTCAGCATGGTAATAGCTAGTAGGAACAATATACCAATTTCAGTCGTAGAATCAACAGTCATATGAGCAATGCGGTCAAAGGTTGTGACATTCATTTTGGTCGGTGGCAGAAGTGGGTTCTCAAGCTCATCAGATGGTTTGACATGTTGAATTACCGTTTCTTTGTCAAGAACCCAATAAAATGTATGTATTGGCTTACTGTACGAAGTTAAAGAAACTTTAACTCTTGTCGTAGAGATGAGATAGGTATCCAAGAGTTTAAGCTTGTCTTCATATTGTTCAATTTCATCAGTATACATAACTGCCCTAATGTGGTGCTCCTGAAAGTAAAAGTTATAGAAAATTGAGATTATACTACTCAAGAATGAAAGTAAAGTTTAACTTTCTAAACAGTCACTTCTTCAAACACATCAGATGTGTGCAAAGAATAAATGTGACTGAACGTAAGCACTTATCAATCCTTTGTTTGAAAGACATAAAACAAAATTGCACTAATTTCAGTAGAAAAATTGAGAAAAAATAGCACTCAAATAACAAACCAGCACACGATTAGGCTATCAACATGGGTAAAAATAAAAGAACAATAATTCATCAGCTAATGACCTACAATTTATAAGTCAAATACATAGTAGTGAATATTTTTAAACTTACCTCTTCATCTTCCAAAATCAGATTTTGAAATCTAAATTTCTTATAAGGACTTTCTCGCGGGAGACTCATGTCCACAATTTGAACTTTGCAAATCCAATCTTGTTGTCTATTGCTATTTGGCCGATGTTTAATCTTAGTTCCATGTTTGTACCAAATATCTAACCTAGCAGTAGTATCTGCAGGATAGGTGTTACAAACCGTTAAAGTTCTTTCTTTTTTTGTGGTTGCATGAACAGTGTCGATTTAGTAGATAAAAAACAATATGGATATTTCAAACCAAATTAGGAACATGCAAGAACATAATTACCCATTAACATACTGAAAAAATAGAAAATGTAATAAATACCACCTAATTTTGCCTGCTCACTAACAAAATCGGAAGGTAAAGTAAGAATAAATAACTCTGATTTTACTCCTGCCTAGTAAAAAATCCGAAGGTGTAGTAAAAAATAGGAACTCACATTCTGATTTTATCGTTTGATCGCAAACAAAATCCATAGGAAAAGTTGAAAAATGCGAAGAGGAAAAACAACAAAAGGAGAAAAAATACCTGAGAAGAGAGGAATAGCAAAACAACAAAAACTTTTCTTCAAGGGAGCAGAATGAATTTGTATGGTATAAATAAATATAATACAAAAAAAACACGTAGTAATAGATAGTCTAGTATATAAAAGTACAGTTGTCTTCTTAGAATGTAATGAGGTTTTGATAGCCAATGAAATTGGGCCAAAAAGGGGAAAAACTTACTATTACATTTTGAACAGCCTTTGGTACAATTGTTTAATAGTATATTCAGTCCAATTTGAACAGCCTTTGGTACAACTGTTTAGTGCTGTGTTGGTACAGCCAAACTGTCCTTTCTATAATAAGGGTAAAATATATATATATATATATATGTTAGGACATAACAAAATACATATATGAGCAAGAGGAATAATACTATAAGATATTCCAATGATACATTATATTAAAGTTTTCACTTTGGGCCAGGATGAAATCAAATACAAGTCAAAAAGTGCATCACTATCTTTTAAACAGAAAAAAATATATAGAGTTTTTTCTAAAATCCTATGGAAGTATAATAGGAGAAGAAAAAGTGACACATATCATCACCACAAAATTCAGATTTTTAAATCATCTAAATTAATTATATATAATATGTAATTTGTTTAAATAGTAAATTTTATTTTATTTTAAAAAAAAATACTTTAAACAAAATAAAACCAAAATAAAATTTACTTTAAAAAAACTTTAAACATGAAACCAAAATAAAATTTACTATTTAAACAAATTACATATTATCTATAATTGTATGCATCACTTTTCCTAAAATCGTGTCACTTATTTCTCGGAAAATTCATGATAAAGTTTATTTAAGACGAAAATATTTTTTCTCTGAAAACATGTTCTTTTTCAGTGTGAATATATATGGATTCTTATAATAAATCGTCATTATTGAGTTTTCATATATCTTGGTCAATGTCGACGGATTTCATTTGACTTTAATTTCAAGCCACATATATGTAATCCATATGATTATTATCAATATTGCTGAAATTTTCAACATTTAATTTTTGAAATTTTCTCAGTTCCTTAGTAGTTGTTAACAGTTGTACGATAAGAAGTTGAAAAATAACATTTTTATGATATTTTGCATGGTCCTATGCACCCACTTGTTTCTTCTCTATATTTCTTCTTTGTTGAAAATTCATGAATTAATTATGAAATTAAACTATAAACGTCTGAATGTTAAGAATTGTTTCTCAAATTTAATATTTTATTAAATTTTCAATATGCGTAAACTGTGAAATTTGAATTGAGTAAATTATTTTTAAAGTTTTACTTGTCAAAATTTTAAACTCCAACAATACTATATATAAACCGGGGTTGTTCCGTCCAATTTCTTTTTTATTATTATTAAGGAATATTTCTTTTGTCTCAATTTATATAACGTAATTTGATTGAATACTGAGTATACGGAGTAAAGGGAAAACTTTAAAATGTTTCAAAATGTATCTATATATAATAGGAGAAGAAAAAGTGGCACATGTCATCACCACAAAAATCAGATTTTTAAATCATCTAAATTAATTATATATAATATGTAATTTGTTTAAATAGTAAATTTTATTTTATTTTTTTAAAAAAAACTTTAAAAGCAGTTTTTACAATTAAATGAGATACGATTTTAAAACAATTTTAAAATTTAACATGAAGAAACTGTAAATCTGAATTTAAGTGAAACAAAAAAAAAATTAAAATATTAAAAAAAATTAACGTTTCTATCTATATACAATTATTCTTTAGCTTTCCGTTTTTAAAAAATCAATTAACTAAATATTATTAATCTGATTTTTTTTAAAAATAAAATAAAAAGACACATGTCAGCAACTACTAAATTATATAAGGATTTTCTAAAAAATATATATAAAAAAAATTTTAGAAGAAAAAAAATTTAATATGAAAATTCGAAATGCTTACATTTGAAATTCAACAAATTTGAAAAAAAAGTGAGAAAGAAAGAAGAAAACTAACTAAATTGTCCCATTTCTTCACTAATAATTACAGTTTCAACATTGCACACAAAAATTCGAACAATTTTAAAATTTAAAAAATAATTTTAAAATATTTTAAATATTTATCTAATATTAACCCAAAATAAAAAATAAAAAAGAGTAACCAACTAAATAATTCCATGTTTTTTTGTAAGAATTATTATTAATTATTATTAATTATTTCTTACTTATGGCCCAAGTTTACTTGTAATCCAAGTAATACCATAAATAATATTTAATAAAGAATAGATCTCGTCCGTACATTGGTTACTTGATGAACGTACCAGATTAAGTCATAACCTCTATAAATTGGTCCTCCCTCCACCCATTTAGGGTTATCACATATTCTCTACAATAATTCTATCGTTGACGATTATGGTAACATAAAGTTAGGACAAGAAGGTAGAAATCAATTTACGACTAACGCTTCCGCTTCTCTCTGTGATGATGCCTTCCGCATCAGGTATGTGCCCCTAACAATCTCTATGTAAGATTATCGTGTTCAAGATCCTGAAAGTATTTAATTTTACATGTGGCATCAGAGCGTGGATTGTTTACGGATAATCTTACATATATATGAAAATAATTATCATGTAACGGAATTAAAAATTGACACGACAATGTCAACATTACCGTCTCTCAAGCTTTTGTACGTGGAAAAATACTACTAGTTTATAATTGAGATTGGAATTGCAACTACTAAAAAATGTTGCTCATAATATAGTCGTTAACTTTGGAGTTGTTCTAATTAACTGAGAAGAACATGGGCACTCTAAACAAATCATGGGCATGATGCCACGCCACCATATGATGATTACATATACTATTTTACTTCTACCTGCTAATAAAAATAATAATCTAATGAGTGGTAGAAATTCCGATTTTTGTGTTTGACTATTAAAGGTGTTTGGACTCTTAAGTTAATTAAGTTTTGTTAGCAATGTTTAATTTGCACAAATTTTAAAATCTTAATTTTCTCATAATGTAATAATTATATTTGTTTTTAGATTGTGCAATAAATTAAAGTGATCGTTATACTAAGCAATAAATAATATGTGTATTTAGTGCAAAATAGTTTGTTAGTCACCAAAGTGGCCAAACTAAATAAATTAACGTCTACACATATAATATTTATGATCACTTGATGCATTTATTATGTTTCTATAGTTTGTTAGTCACCAAAGTGGCCAAACTAAAATGTTTAAAATTATTCACATGCACAAAAATTTATGAGATTATGTATGCATTTGTATTCATATAGCTTGTTAGTCACCAAAGTGGTCAAGCTAGTATGGTTAAGAAAAATATGCATTCATAAAACTGTCATTTATCTATGAAGGTTAATTAAATGCCTATATATTGAAAAATAAATAGATAAATTGACTTTCACTATCGCTAGAACTTAAGAATTTACCCAAAGGTAAATCAATCATTCTACGAATAGTGAAAATTTTGAGGTAAATTAATCTTTTTAGTCATACATATATTGTATATCCAAAGATGTCGTATATGTTTGATTAAAAATATTCAATTACCTATTAAAGATAAAATTGACATTTAAATTATGATAATGTGTCGTAGTATCTACCCAAAGGAGAATTACGATATATTTTTATCGCTTTACTGAATTTACATTATTTTCTGATTTGTGAGCATGTATATCTATTTTGCAGTTATTCCTCTTCATTCACATGCTTCGTCTGTTACTGTGTTCAATGGATTGAACTTCTCTGAATGGCATGAACAAGTACAGTTCCACTTAGGTGTAATGGATCTTGACTTGGCTCTGCTGAATGACAAACCTACTGCCATTACTGATAAGAGCAGTGATGATAATAAGTCTTTTCATAAATCATGGGAATGCTCTAACAGATTAAGTCTTATGTTCATGCGAATGACTGTTGCTAACAACATTAAGAGTACTATTCCACAAACAGAAAGAGCCAGGGAATACCTGAAGTTTGTGGAAGAACGTTTTCGTTCTGCTGATAAGTCTCTCGCTGGTACACTAATGGCTGAACTCACAACCATGAAGTTTGATGGATCGCGTAGTATGCAAAATCATATCATCGAGATGACTAACATTGCATCAAGACTTAGGACCTTGGGGATGAAAGTGGATGACACCTTCTTAGTTCAGTTCATTCTGAACTCATTGCCTCTTGAGTATGGACCATTCCAAATTAACTATAACACTATTAAGGATAAGTAAGATGTTAGTGAATTGTCCAATATGCTTACTCAAGAGGAGTCAAGACTTAAGAAACAAGGAGGTCATTTCATTAACCTTATAGGTCAAATGAGCTGGTAAAAGACTTAAAGTGAAGGCCAACAAGTTTAAGAAAAAGAAAACACATGCTAAAGTTCCACAGGATGCTCATAAGGAACTCAAGGCGGATGCGTGTCGTTTCTGTAAAAAAGAAGGACACTATTAGAAAGATAGTCTGAAACGTAAAGCTTGGTTTGAAAAGAAAGGTACATTTAGTGCTTTTGTATGTTTCGAATCAAATTTAGTAGAAGTTCCTAATAATACTTGGTGGCTTGATTCTGGTGCAACTACTCATGTATCCACTATGTTGCAGGGATTCACTACGATCCAAACTACAAATCCAAATAAGGATTTCGTGTTCATGGAAAATCGCATGAAGGCTCAAATTGAAGGCATAGGGACTTATCGATTGATCTTGGAGACTGGACATCACCTTGATCTATTACAGACTCTTTATCTTCCTTCAGTTTCTAGGAATTTGATTTCCCTTTCAAGACTTGATGTTTCTGGATTTGATTTTTAAGTTTGGACATGGATGTTTCAATTTATATAAGAATACTATTTTTTATGGTTCTGGTGTTCTTATTGATGGTTTATATAGATTGAAACTCGATAATAATTTTTCTGAATCCCTGCTTACTATTCATCAAAATATTGGAATTAAACGTAGTTCACTAAATGAAAGTTCTGCTTATTTGTGGCATAAACGTTTGGGTCATGTATCCAAAGAACGATTAAAAAGATTAGTAAAGAATGAAATTCTTCCGAATTTGAATTTT